CTTCTTCTTCTTCTTCTTCTTCTTCTTCTTCTTCTTCTTCTTCTTCTTTCTCTCTTCTTTGGTCTCTATCTCTTTGCAAGTGCTTTCATTTCTTTGGCAATTGGGTGGCATTGTCTTTCTTTGTGAATTTGCACTTTGGAAGTGACCAGGATCATAACAGTACAAATTATATGTACGTTGTCCCTGGGTACGACCCATCACAGGTAACCCCCGTTTATCGCTATCTACCCCTCACAGGAGCCCCTTTCACCAATTGTGGGCTTATGCTACCCTCAAAAGCCAGCAAAGCCCTGATGAACGAAGGGAGGTCTATCACAGCCTGAAAACACACTGCCAACCCAGCACCACTGGATCTAGAGGCACAACATGGTTGCTTACCGACTTTCCCCCAACACACCGCACTCTCATTATGACTGTATCGGACTTGAAAGACAGCTTGTATACATTTAGTATCAGGGGTCATTGTGTTCGGGGGACGACGGTAGTGACATCCCCAACTGATATTGCTATGAACCTGGTCAGTGAACCATTGTAGGGAGATAACAACAATCTCGCTTCACTGCACAACATTCTAAGTTCTAACTGAACCTAGACCGTATTACGATCTGTGCACATTCCAACTTACCAAACATTTTGAATGCATCCGAACCACTTTCAAATCCAGAGGCCTTGAGAATTTTGTGCCGAGGAGCGAGTCCCAAAGTCATGTATGTATACTGTCCAAGAGAACTTCCTAGTGAATCGAGAGAAGAAAAGGAGAGAAGGGCAAGAAACAAGGGGGGCTGTGACAGACAGACTGTTTCATCGGAATTTCAACATTTCACTGACCATTGAGTCAATGCTCGTGTTAGTGGAAGAAGTATTAGTCTTTGCTGGGTGGACGTGTCTTTTTTTTTAAGTTCCACCCCCCCTCCCTCCACCCCTTCCCCTCCACCCCTCCCCCTCCTTCCCCTTCAATCAGCATAGGGGTCAAAACACCACCCGTAAACGCATGGTTGACGATTCATTGGGAGTTCGTAAATAAAAGAGAAGAACCCAAAAACATCCATCAGGGTGGACGTGTTTCTCTTTCACGGTTTTACCTAACTTTTACGAACTTTTGCTGCAATGTTTCCCAACTTTTTGAAAAGTGTGTACCCCTTAACATTATGGTATCCTACCATCCATCTGATTTCATCAGAATTTGAACCATGGTTACGCTGGACCCGGACCCGGACCCGGACCCGGACCCGGACCGGACCGGACCGGACCGGACCCGAAACCGGTGTCTGGACCGGTGGGTC